CCAGTCTAGTCTATACATCGAGTTCGAGGACATCCAGAACTACACACAGACCCTGTCTTGGGAAGGAAAGGGGGTATGAAATTGTCAAAGAATAAAAGCTACAAAAAAAATCTCAAAAGTTAGCAAATAATTAACTCAGGGAGAAAAAGATGTTTCTACTGTACTATCAAAGTTGACATTTATACCATATTTTATCTGTAATGCGAATGCATCGGTTTCTCATTTTGTCAGGAGATTATGAAGAATATTTTATCTTCAAAATCAAAGAGTAATACCGTATTAGACACAGGTGAATTCGGAAGGAAATATGGGACGCTACTAGAGACCCAAATGTATTTGTGTGTTCCAGAAATTACCACCTAGAGTTATGGGGTGGGAGTGGCGGGCGGCTTGTGCATGAGACTTGCAAACGCTGACTGCAACAAACATTAATTCCTGACGGTGACAACTCGGGTCACGGTGGTGGCTTCCAGACTCGTTCCATCTTGATGTGTTGAGAGCTTTCCAGCGAATGTGACAGGACGACACACACGGGAAAGCCGTTGGCAGCACAGAAGACTGGTCTCTCCGTCCAGTACCGGAGCTGCCCGAGGCCAGCACGCAGACAGGCCGCGAATGGCTCGCCAGCTCTCGGGTGTACTGGGACTGACACTCCTGTGACCGCAAACGATTCGGACCTTCAGACCGACTTCAGTGTAAAGCTTACCCTATAGGAGGGCGTAGCGCGCACGCAGCCCGCTGGGGGGTCGAAAAGGCTGCAAAAGTCGGGCATGGCCCGACCTTCGGGGCCCAGCACGGTCAGGACCCGGGCAGGAATCTGCGGGGGAGAAAAAGGAGGGAGGGAAGGGCAGAAGGCAGACGGAGCTTGCACTACCTGAGGATGTTGTGTGCTTCCATACTCCGGTTCTGGTTACTCGAGCACACCACCGCCACCCGCAACGGCGAGGACGGCATGGCACCGATCGCACTATCCACAGCGCTCGTTACGGAACTCCCACCTAGAAGCCGGCTCCCGCCCGAGGAAGATGGCGGAAACCGGAAGTCAGCAATGCGGAAGTGAGGGCGACGTTGGTACGTGCGGAAGTCGGCGCTGCTTTCCCGGGCACGCACTACGCACTGCAGCAGGCTCGGGAGAGCGACCGGACGACGCTGCGTGAGTTTATGGCGAGAGTAGCTAAGACCGATGCTCGGGGCCGTTTATACCGGCATCTGACGTCACAGCACCCGCGCCGGAAAAGGCAGTGACGTCCGCCGCGCATGCGTCCGGGGCGTCTTAAATGGTCCTCGCCGTTGATGACAGTCTGGGCGGAGCGCCTGCGCAATATTGGAGATTTCGGGCGGTTCCTACGGTCTGGGGAAACCCTCTAGCAATCCGGTTTCCTCCGTGGCCACTCCACCAACTTCGGAAACGTATCTGCGCGCCAGCACTTTGTTTACGCCCCGTCTCTATAACGAGTATCACTTCCTCCGGAAGTTCCTCATTTCCCTTGGGGAGCCCTTTGAAGTTTTAACATTTAAGTGATAATGAGAAGGTTCGGTGGAAGCTTCACCCCAGCCCCTGGCATCCATATACCCAGAGAGTCTCTAATGTTCGGTGGAAGGTCCACCCCAAGCCCCATCCCTCCAAACCCTGCCACATCTCAGAAGGCCTGCCGAATGATGACCCCACCCCCAGAGATGCTCAAGACCACTCCAACAGGGTATTTAAGTGCCCGCCAGAAACCAGTTATGTGGGTTTTCTGGTCTCTTTCCATCTCCTCTCTGGGGGGTTGGAAAATCATTTAGGAGTCTTTAATCCATTAAACCTCGGGTTTTTCTGAGTCTGTTTTGGACTGCTGCATCTGCAGAGAGGTTTATCGGATGCAGAAACTTTTCAGAAAGAGTTTGTGAGGTAACCGGCTCCTCTTAAAGTGATAGGAAGATCGCTTCACTATGGAAGCCCATTTAGTGAGAGCTCGGTCTCAAAAAAAAAAAAAAAAGGAGAAATAGGGCTGGGCATGGTGGCTCATACCTTTAACCCCAGAACTCGGTAAACAAAGACAGGCTTACAGCCTCTTGCCCTGTTGCTTTTCCTCTCCATCTCCAATAGAATGGTCAAGAAAAGAAGGAATGGGACTGTGAGAAGGGTATTTACATGGGTGATTTGGAGATTCCGAGAACTGTCTTGAGGTTTGGGCTACAAGAAACAAAACATGGTCCATTTTTAGTATGAGATGCATTGAAAGATCATGAAGCACAAGGCACTAAGCTGCTTCCCTCCCTAGCAGGCAGCCAATGACGGCTTGTCTAGGCACTCCAGTTTTTCCTAAGATCGACAAGTTGCTGTGGGAAGAGAATCTGGATTCCCCAGGATAGATTAGGCTTTGTGTCCTCAGCTAATAGGAGGAGAAACATGGGGAGGCAGCAACAGTGAACACCAGGAAGATTGTAGCTCCTTAAAAAACTCAGTCAAAAGGACCTAAAGAGGGTGAAGAAAT